GCTTCAGTCCCCAGGGCGGGAACCCGCATTGTGAGCACCTGCAGCCAGGCCGGCACAGCGACCCCGGAGGCGAGGCGCACCCTTGAACCCTGAGGCTGAAGAGAAAGTTGCTCGCGCGGTAACTGGCCTCAGTCCAGCTGGGCGCACTCCCTGATTTCTCCCGGCTCGTTTTCCCGACGGGAAACTCCGGGAGCCCCCTGCACCTCCAGTTTGGCCACGGGAAAGGAAGCGGTGGTCCCCTGGCTGCAAGGCCAGAACTCCACCGCTGTTCTACTCCCCCTGCCCTCCCTTGCGAAGCTTGTGGGTAGGCGTGGGAGTGCAAGAGACAGGAGCTTCAGGAGGCCGACCCGGCGTCGCAGGGGTCGTCGCGCCCAGTGCGGCACTTGTTGCAGCTCTGTGGGAGGCGGGGGCGCGGGTTGGGATAACCGGGACCCGCGGGGACTGTGCGGAGCCCGTGAAAGTTAGAGAAGCGCGTTCCACGCTATTTGCTTGCCTTCAGCACCACAAGGGAAATGAGGGTCATGAAACGTTGCTCAAAGTGACACAGCGCACAGGCTGCTGCAAAGTGAGGAGCGGCGTGTGAAAAGCTGGGAGAGCGGAGGGGCTCTGCCCTCTTCCGCACGGATGGAGAAGCTGCCACTCAACATCGTCCTCAGTGATGCAACTTGTTAGAGCAAAACTGAATACACGGAGAGCACAACAGCCCTCTTTCAAACTTAGCGTCTACATCCGGTGTTTGAAAGCCCCCAAAAGCCGACAGCCGCGTGGGAAAAGTTTACGAAGCCGTTTTGTGAAGGCGCGGGAGCCGAGGCAAGGACCCTCGCGAGAGGACGAGGAGAACCCCGCCCCGCCCCTGGGAGGACACGCCCCCTAAGGGAGGGGCCGGAAGCCGTCGTTCTGGGCCGGAAGTAGTGCTGACTTGGTCCACGTGAGCGGCAGCATGGCCGCCCACCGCTCAGGTCCGCTCAAGCAACAGAATAAAGCTCATAAAGGCGGACGGCACCGGGGACGGGGATCCGCGCAGCGGGACGGCAAGGGTGAGAATGTAGGGTTGGAGGGAGAAGGGCTTAGTCGATGTAACTGCTATCCTCCATGCCCAGTCTCAGCTCCTACCTCCGGCCTGGACCCACGTAAATGCTCTAAGGTGGGAAGAAGAGGTCCCCTTTCTTGACCTTATTCTGGTCCCCTTTATGATCTCCCTCCAGGCCGTCTAGCACTGAAAAGCCTAAGCAAGAAGGTGAGAAAGGAGCTCAGCAGAGTAGACCAGAGGCATCGCGCCAGCCAGCTTCGGAAGCAGAAGAAAGAGGCGGTGAGAGGAGTAGGGATTGGGGATGGTGTGGCTTCACAGTTGTTCTAAGGGCGGACAATGCCTCCAACTAGAAATGTGACCCTGGGCAGGCCGGAGACGGTGAATAACCCTGGAGCACATGCTAGTTGTGCAGGTCTAGGTTCATGCTAGAGCATCCTTTGCTTTGGTCTGAGCTCCTGCCCACCCCCCAGGATAAACACGTGGCTTTTTACAAGAGAAATGAAGCGGGTTAGGGCATCCCTACGTTGGAAAGGCAATAATGGAAGGAAGTGCTGAAACACTGAGATATTCTCTGGTCCTTTCTATTTGCAGGTTCTGGCAGAGAAGAGGCAGCTGGGCAGTAAAGATGGCCCTCCTCATCAGGTACTGGTGGTGCCCCTGCACGACAGGATTTCCCTGCCAGAGGCCTTTCGGCTGCTTCAGGACAGGGACGCTGGAACAGTACACTTGAATGAATGGGGAAGCACCCACAGCTTTATGCTGCTCTGCCCCAGCTTGAAACATCGGTGGTTTTTCACATCTGCAAGGCCAGGTTAGAGTATACAATGTTTTCTATCACTGCGTATGAGTAGTGATAATATTTTTTTAGTATTATGCGCTGATGCCAACCACCTCTTCCTACTGACTTTGTCTTCTATCTCCAGGAGATCTGCACACTGTGCTCGACTTGGCTAAAGTGGCTGATAGCATGCTGTTCCTCCTCGACCCCCTAGAAGGCTGGGACAGCACCGGGGATTACTGCCTTTCCTGCCTCTTTGCTCAGGGCCTTCCCACCTATAGTAAGTGATTTGGAAATACTGAAGGCCATGAAGGAAGTGAATTAGCCCTTCGTGTGCACCTATAACTGGCATCAATGTGCCTTAAAAATTTCTTTTTCAACTACAGTTTACATTCAATATTTTTTTGAGGTGCCTTTTTATTTCTGGACTGCCCTTTGCCCAGAGGAAGAAGAGTATAAAGTTTGCTTTTACTCTGTAATTTCTTCAAGGTAGCTGAGTGTTGGGTTTCCCCAGTGATCTCTGTGCTCACAACTGTTAGCTTTTTTTGTGAACTTGCTTGGGGAATTTTCATGTAGTGAAGCAAGAAGTCATGAAGCCCTTTTCTCTTTTGCTCCTAGCACTAGCTGTCCAGGGGATTTCTGCCCTCCCACCGAAGAAACAAGTAGATGCCAGAAAGAAGCTAAGTAAAGTAGTGGAGAAGCGCTTTCCTGATGACAAGCTCCTTTTGTTAGACACGCAGCAGGAGGCAGGGATGCTGCTCCGGCAGTTGGCTAACCAGAAGCAGCGGCATCTTGCCTTTCGAGATCGGCGGGCCTATCTTTTTGCTCATGATGCTGACTTTGTGCCTAATGAAGAGAATAACCTGGTGGGGACCTTGAAAATTTCAGGCTATGTTCGTGGACAGACTCTGAATGTAAATAGTTTGTTGCACATCATTGGACATGGTGACTTCCAGATGAAACAGATAGATGCTCCTATGGACCCTTTTCCTTTAAACCCTAGAGTGATCAAATCCCAAAAGGACTCGGGCATGGCGATGGAGGTAAGATTGATGTTCTTAGAGAGTATGTATTGTTGCTTCCTGTGTAAGCTGGTGTATGATGGAAACTAACTTCAGAGAAGGTAGTTTGCATGCCCAGACAACTAACCTAGTCCCTGGGGGTGACTGCTAGTTAGAAGTAAGGCACTAGTCAATTACAGATATGTTGGTATGTTATATATTTATCCAGCACTCTGCAGGTGCCTTACACAGCAGTTGGCTCTGGGTTTATAGAAGACACAAGATGTAGTCTCTTTCCTCAGACAATTAGGTCAGGAAAAACAGATGGCAAACACCTGTGAAATAAAGGTTGGGGAAGTGTGGTTGAGGTACAGACCTGCGGTGGGAGTTGAGGAAGTAGACTGATAAGCTTCACAGAGATATCAGACATCAGCTAGGTGTTGAGTAGGGTAAATGTGATTTACAAGTTTTAGAGAGATGAAAGAATATCCTAGAATATAGAGACAACATGAACCTAGCATAATGGTGGATCAAAGGATTTCTTTGAACTCTGAAGAAATCAGCTTGCTTGGGGATACAGTATGTAACAAAAAGATAGTGGGGTCAGATTTTGAAAAGCCTCCAGTCAAGCAGAGGTATAGGCTTAAAATGCTAGGAAACAGAACCATTTGAAAACACTTGACACATTTTGGCTTTCTCTTTCAATTTATTTCATTCATCTTCTACGTGAGGACTATGTTATTTTTTCATCTTTCTGGTTACCATGTTAGATTTAGTAGATTTTTCGTTAATATTTGACTGACCATTACCTGTTTTTTGTTTTTAGATTTGTGCTACAGATGCTGTAACTGACATGGAGGAAGACCTTAAGGTCCTGATGAAGGCAGACCCTGATAGACAAGAATCTTTGCAAACAGAGGTTATACCTGATCCAATGGAGGGGGAGCAAACCTGGCCCACTGAGGAGGAACTGAGTGAGGCAAATGGTTGGTAATGGCAGCTTGTTTGTAATTCAGCTGGCCTGGAATTGTGGACTTTGTCTAGCTGCTCACGGTCAAGACCTATAAGAGAGTGGGATGAGGATTTATTTAGAGGTTTGTCTCTTCTCGTCCCCCAAATGCTTTCTGTTTGCTTAAGCAAACATTGGACACAGCTCTGCCTCATTTCTCAAAATCACTTGTTACTACTTTCTAATGAAAACAACTTGGGATTAGTTGTAAGGTTTATTTAGTTAAATGTTGCTAGTTTTGAGGCAGTGGAATTAAATTTGAAAGTAGTAGTCTGTTTTGCTTATTGTGTCTGCTAGAGTTTTTGGTGTTGGCAGCAATATCTGGTCTTTCCTACGTGAGAATACCCAAAGTAATAGGGGAAAGGAGGTATATAATTTACTTAACTCATTTGGGCTTTTACAGACTTTTTGAAGGAAAGTTCCAAGGTGGTAAAGAAGGTTCCTAAAGGAACATCCAGCTACCAAGCTGAATGGATTTTGGATGAGGATGGCGAAAGTGGTGGGGAAGATGATGAATGTGATGATGAAGAACATGAGGATTTTATGGAAGAGGAATCTCAGGTAAGAAAATAGTCCCTTAGTCCCTTCTGTGTACAGCCCCAACTGCAAGGCAGAGTGCAATCCTGACCTTAAGATATGTGTTGTCAGTTGTTGTTGTTTTAATTTTTATTGATTTTTTTTTTTTTTAGAAAGGGGGAGAGAAAAACATCAATTTGTAGTTCCAATTATTGTTTGATTTTTTAAAAATATATTTTATTGATTTTTTTACAGCGAGGAAGGGAGAGAGAGAGTCAGAAACATCAATGAGAGAGAAACATCGATCAGCTGCCTCCTGCATGCCCCCCAGCTGGGGATTGAGCCCACAACCTAGGCATGTGCCCTCGACTGGAATTGAACCCGGGACCCTCAGGCCCAGTGCTCCATCCACTGAGCCAAACCAGCCAGGGCCTGAGGACATTTTTTCCATTGATTTGTCAGATACAGTGGGAGGAAGGGAAGGAGGGGGAGAGAGAGAGATAGAGATAGAAAGACATGGACATGAGAGAGACACATCATTGTTGCATCCCAAATGGGGACTGAGATGGAACCTGCAAAGCAGGTATGTGCCCTTGACCAGGAATCGAACCTGTGACCCTTCAATCTGCAGGCCCACAGTCTAACCACTGAGAAACTGGCCAGGACTGCTGTTCCACTTATTTATGCATTCATTGGTTGATTCTTGTATGTGCCCTAACTGGGATCAAACCCACAACCTTGGTGTATGCATCAGGACAGTGCTCTGACCAACTGAGCTACCCACCCAGGGCCTGTGGTCAGTTTTTTAAGAATGACTGTGGTTGCCGGGAATGAGACTTGTTTTATAACTGAGTCTCTCAGAATTGATACGGTTTGGACTAGGTGTCTAATAACTATTATTCTTAGCTTAATGGCTTTTAGGGTAGAGATAGGTGTGGGTTTCTTCTGAAACTGCAATCCTTTATTCCACAGGATGAGAGTAGTGAAGAGGAAGAAGAGGAGGAATGTGAAACTATGACTATTGGAGAGTCTGTGCGTGATGATCTATATGATGAGAAAGTGGATGAAGAGGCTGAGGAAAAAATGCTAGAAAAATATAAACAAGAAAGACTGGAAGAGATGTTTCCAGATGAAGTAGATACGCCCCGTGATGTGGCTGCTAGAATTCGGTTAGTCAACAACTCCAAAATCAATTAATACATTTTTTATTTTAAATTTATGTGGCTCAGAGGTGTCAGTGTGACACAAAAGAAGAAAAACATTGTTCTGCTCCTGAAAGGCTAATGTTATATGTGGGAAGATAAGACATACATACAGGAAATTAATACATTACCAAGTTCAAGTTCTAGACTGTGGCGTAGACTAATAACGTTAACAGTACTTTAATAAGATTAATTAGCAATCTTCCTATGTGAACTAATACTCAATTGAATGTTTGGAGATGTGGGGGGATTTGGGTAGAACCAAAAGAATAAAAGCACGGGATTAGTCTGAAAACTCAGGGAGTTTGTTGGACGTTAGAGAAGTTAGGCTTTTATCAAGGACCGTGTTCCTCAGGTTAAGGAGCCACTGTGCATACTTTGTCCTTTGTCAGTGAGAAACAGGTTTGGTTCTGAAATACGTGTTCACTGTTTTGGAGTGTGCTCTTGATTTGGGCTATTAGGTTATCTTGAAGAAATAGTGGTAAGAGTTCTTTTAAGTTAGAACCTTAGCCATATTATTGACCTAAGTGAAAGCGTAGCACCATATCAATTAGACTATTAATTTATTTAAAATCTCCTATATTCTAGATTTCAGAGATACAGAGGCCTCAAGAGCTTCCGGACATCTCCATGGGATCCTAAGGAAAATCTTCCTCAAGATTATGCTCGGATCTTTCAGTTTCAGAACTTTACCAATACAAGGAAACGCATCTTTAAAGAAATCAAGGAAAAAGATGTTGAAGGAGCTGAGGTATCTGCCTGCCTTCCTTCATCCCTACAATTTGTTTTGTTTGCCAAGCTGCCCCCTCCTTTACTCCTCTTGGCAAGAGTACCTTAGTTTTGTGCTGCCCGCAGCTGAATTAGAGGAGCTACTGAGTCATTGATAAGCGTGATATTGGGAGAAGGGAGGTATCAGATATGTTAACTGGAAAAGTTTAATCTGGATAAGTGAGGCATCTGTGAAAGGCAATTTTGAAGGGCAGGGGTTGGCCTTATGAGACTTTTTAACATATTTGGAGAAATGTTTCATCATTATTGCTGCTTTAAGGGAAACTGTGGCTGTTTTCTGCTTTATCTGGCAGGTTGGCTGGTACGTCACCCTTCATGTCTCTGAAGTACCTGTCTCTGTGGTTGAGTATTTCAAGCGCGGGGCACCCTTGGCCGCGTTTTCTTTGCTGCCTCATGAGCAGAAGGTTAGTGTCTTGTGGGAAATGGGAGTTCTGAAACATCCTGACCAGTTTTATCTGACAGTCTAACATTTTACTTGTGTCTGGCATTTTGCTCATTGAGATGCAAAAAATAGGCCTTGAGGATTAAACCGGGGTGATGGAGAAGTCAATGATGGTTTAAAACCCAACATGTCTGAACCTGTCTGAGCATCTCAATGATGCAACCTGTGTGGTCTGAGACTTCTCTGAGATAAGTATACTTGTCAGATCAGATTTTAGCCAAGGGTTGGCAGCCTTAAAAATAAAGGGTGTGGATGCCAAGGTGTGGATCTTTTCTCTCGGAGGCAGTAGTCATGGAGGTTGGAGTGTATGTGAGAGCTCTGGCCTTTGGTCAGTGTGAGTAAGTGTTGAGGAAGAAAGGGGGCTTCATGAGTGTGATTTTGAGGTGTGTGGTGAGTGAGTGGCTTGAAGTCACTGAGCATGTGGCAGATGTTGAGCTCTTGCATGTTAGACACCGGAATGTCAACTAGTACAGATGGGTACATGAAAGCTCTGAAAACCAGCCTGTGTTCGGTATAAATGCCAGTTGGTGTGAATGTAGGTGAATCTGTGTCTCATCTGTACCACATCAGGTGTGAATCTGAACCTGTTAGTTTGGTTTGCCTTCCTTCAGGTTAAGCTGTTGTAGATATGAAGTTCTGTTTTTCTTACTTGGTCTCCAGATGTCAGTGCTGAACATGGTGGTAAGCCGGCATCCTGGCAACACTGAACCTGTGAAAGCCAAAGAGGAGCTGATCTTCCAGTGTGGGTTCAGGCGCTTCCGAGCCTCACCTCTGTTCTCTCAGCACACTGCAGGTACGCAGTGGGGAGCCTCTGGGTTCTTGTCTATCCTGTTGTCTCTTGGGAGACTGTAACTGTAGGTGAGGTGGTACAGAGCACACAGTTTCAAATTCTAGGTCTCTGGGTTAGAGACATGTTCAGTACTCTGGTTTAGAAGCCAATGATGTGTTTATTTAAAATGTCTGAACCTGTCTGAAGCATCCCAGTGATGCTACCTCTGTGTGGTGCTGAGGTTTCTCTGCCATGAGTATTTGTTCCAGGGTAGATTTTGAGTCAGAGGAGGCAGCTTTATAAAAATGATGTATCAAAGTGTGGAACCCTTGACATCTGATATGCCATTGGCAGCGTGGGTGAAGGCTAGTGGGTCATCCCCAGATAGATTAAGCAAGAGATGTGTGGCTTCTGAGATGTTGAGACTGGATGAGAGTTTGGAGAGTGGTGACACTTTTGTGGCAAAAATTATTGTGCTACAAATTAGGAGTGGGAAGTTTTGTACTAACTTGGGGGCTTTTGAACATGACTTACACACTCAGCTCAGCACTGGCCAGAGGAAGATGATGAAGGCGGTACTAATGGGAGCTCTGGATAATTTCTGTTCTCTCCACCAATGCTGTCTAAATGAGGGATTAACTTTTCTTTCCCTTAAAATATTTTACTTCCCTATACTTCAGTATTTAAAAAGGAGGAGGGTTTCATTGAAGGTAAAAACAGAAATTCCAGATAGTCCCCAAGATCTGAGGTCAGTAAAATACAGCCCTTAGGCCACGTCTCTCCTACTGTTTATAAAGTTTTGTTGGAATACAGTTTTGCTTTTTAGAAAAATATATTGTCCTGGCTATTTTTGTACTACAGTGACAGTTGAGTAATTAGAACAGAGACTCCATGGTCCTAAAGCCTAAAATATTTACTATCTGGCCCTTTATAGAAAATGTTTGCCAATTCTCAAGACTAAGAGCTGTTGATTTAGTGGACATATTCTCTATAAAGTACTGATTCCCAAATGACGTAGGTAGGGGTGATATGTATTAGAATCACTGGAGAACTTTTTCAAACCCCAAATGTAATCTAGACTCAAATTCTGCCTCTGAAAAATCACTGTGGTAGGGTCGGGTTGTACCTTTGAGGTGTATGGAGGCAGGAAAATATTTTGAGAACTAGTTGGGAAGAGAAACACAAGCTGTCTTGGGTGTAAGAGTTGCAGTGATACAGCTTTTCACAGGCCTCTGGATTACCTATGGTTCCTTAAAATGTTTTTGGTTTTTATTTTTTAACCTTTATTATGGCAGCGGATAAACATAAATTTCAGAGATTCTTGACTGCTGACATGGCCCTGGTGGTGACAGTATATGCCCCAATCACTTTTCCTCCTGCATCTGTGCTGCTTTTCAAACAGAATAGCAATGGTAAGTTGAGTTCACAGGTAAACAGCCCTATAGGTCTCTAATAGACTTAACATGGTTTTCTGTATTTAGATTTGGGAGCCAAATGGTATAGAGAAGGGGATGATAGTTTTCAGTATTCTCAGCCTCACAGTGGGTCTAAGGCAGGGGTTTGATCCTTTCTTTTTTTTAAAAAAAAAATACATTTTTATTAATTTTTTTTTTAAGAGAGGAAGGAAGAGGAATAGAGAGATAGAAACGTCGATGAGAGAGAACCATCATCGATCGGCTGCCTCTCGCACACCCCATACTGGGGATTGAGCCTGCAACCCGGGCATGTGCCCTGACTGGCGATCGAACCAGTGACCTCTTGGTTCATGGATCGATGTTCAACTACTGAGCCACACCAGCTGGGCAATGGGGTGTGATCTCGCTTGCAAACTGGAGCTAATTGGTAGAAGCTGCTCAAAGTGTTATATTCAGGATAGGTTGGGGACAGGGTC